TCATGTTTGATGTCATGTTTCTTGATACCAAAAAAGAAAGAAAGAAAGAAAGAAAATGTCTTATCTTAACTCTGAATCCAGATGCTTGTTATATTACATCTTACAATGTAAACAGTATATATAGATGTATTAGACTCTGCTGATTTAAAATAAACTTGTTCTAACAAATGATATTAACTGTGATAAACATGATTAGATTCTCTTGGTCTGTGTCTGTTCATAAACAGGTCGGCTCATGCCCTAAAAATAACCTGACCCACCACTCCCCTGGTGTCAGTAGGGATTCGTGTCTCTCTTTCAGATGGCTCTTTCTTTTCTCACCATATCAACCAGCTGAGCACCTTACTCCACTCTCATCTTCTCATCACTTTCATCCCATCGTTCTTTTACCTTCCTCTCCCTGTCTAACCTTTTTTACTCTCTCATTGTTCCTCTTCACCCACCCACATACACGTCTCGCGTCTCCAGCTCATCTCCTAGTGCGTCTCATGCTCCTGACTCGCATGGTTCTTGCTCGCTCCTTCGCCATCACCGAGGGCAGGCCTTGCAAGGTGGTGATGGCCGTCTTGGCCCAGTAGCCAACCTCTGTGAAGATCCGGTAAATCCAAAGCTTCAGCTCAAACACAACAGTTGGATCATCTAACTGCCAACAAAAAGAGGAGAGATCATAAAGCTCTGCCTTAACTTCTAACCAACACTTTTATCTTCATCATAACAACTCTGATGTCATCAGCACCTACCTCCAGGGAGCTGGGAGTCAGGATCGCCTTGCTGTCTACAGCTTTGAGGAGTTCTCCAGTGTGGGTTAAGAGAATCGAGAGTCTCTCCTTCACCGTATTCCTCTGGGTCTCGTACTCACCCTTCATCTCCTGGCCCAGCTCCTCATCCTCTTTGGCGATGGCTCTCTCCAGCAAGCTGCGGCACTGTAGCAGAGCAGAGTGGAGACACCAGAGCCCGTCCCTGGTATCCAGCTGGGAGGAAGGAGGAGGGACGGACACCAGACGAGTGTCAGTGACGTCTTCAGTGAAACTCTCCCTCTTTCTCTTGAGGCAGAAAGACAGAAAACAAAGAGGATGACGAAATGATGAAAAGGAATAGAAAAAGGAATGTGAAAGTGATGTGCATAAGCAGAGGACTGATGAATGCTTTTGTCAAGTACAAACCACACTGGCATCATTTATGACAGCGACTTGGACCTACAGCTGGATGACAAATTACGGGAAAAAACAAACAAAGTAAACAACATAGCGTGCACTGTTTATTAGGTGTCTTCAGTTTCTCCAGCTGTTGGAGGGAAGGGTTATACACATGTAATAGTATCTGATCAAATAAACAGTTATAGGCATTTTGGGAAATATACTTATTCAATTACATGTCAGGATTTGGATGAGTAGACTGATACCACTCTCATAGGTGTACGATAAAAAAACTACAGCCAGCAGCCAGTTAACTTGGCGTGACAAAGACTGAACACAGGTGCAACCACACGGCAGTTTGGCACTTCTTTTTTCTAAAGATTAATCAAACAATATATATTGTGTTAATCTGTGAGCCTTAAAGTTGCTAGAAGGCAGATTTTGCTACCTTTGGACAGAGCCAAGCTGGCTGTTCCCCCATCTATACGCTAAGTTATGAAATGTGATTATGGGGGTAATGAATACACAGGAAACAACACTGTGGCCAGAAACAATATTTTCATAGATAATTGTAAATTACAATGGTAAGTTCTGAAAATTATTTAAAAGCCATCAAACAGATGTTGTAAATGAATGTTTTCCTACCCAACAAACAGTCCGTGTGGATAAAACAATACTGAAAAATATTCAGTCTGCATGCATTTCAGACTTTTGTGCCAAATACTAAACTAAATCATGTTTGAAAGACAATTCCTCCCAGCTAAGGAGATGCAACACGGGACATTCCTTTCTGCATGAAAGGCTATCTCATCATTTTGTGATGTGCTCACTGTAGGGCTTCAGCAGCATTTCCAAATAAAGCAAACTACCTACAAAGTACGATAAGAATGCACGCCTGGAGGAAGAACATTGAAGAAGACGTGAAGAGTAGGAGAATTCTGGGATTAAAGTAAATGAAGTTTTACACTGGGCTGCTCCCTTGCTCCTGTAGTGACACATATGAAAGGAAGGATGAGGCAGTGAACTGGCAAGAAACCAGGAAGTTTTAATAACTGGTTGCTCTATCACCTATAGGCAAGAAGACACAGGTTTATGGAAGAGAGATGAAGGCTTCATGCCCAGGAAGTGATGAGCCAAGAAAAACACCCACTGCCATTCCAACTGAGATGACCCCCTCCACTCTGCATTCCTACCCCCTGCTGTCCCAGACATAATTTCTTTTTCTTTCACACATACACACACTCCCTCCCTCTTATCTTCCCTTTGCATGCATCCCTTTTTTTGCTCTGTCTCTCTCTCTCTCTCTCTCCCACACACACACACTCATACACACTTTGTCCATATGTGCTACGTCTTTCAAACACAAGCAGTTGTATACACACACAAAGGCACATTCACAGAGGACGCACACAGAAAATCTATTAATTTTCCATTTAACCTTGGCCTATATTTCTCCCTCTCCTTCACCCAGCACACACACCTACGCACAAAATCATGCTGTGATCTGCCAGTGGAAAAATAACAAAGCTTCTACTTACATAAAGTTCCAGTAGGATGGAGCACTCATGGTGCAGCTGCTTAGCTATGGCCACCGTGGTCTTGCTCAGATCCGAGCCGGTCATACCTCTTGTCCGCCTGTTGGCCATTGGACCTCCAGCTGCTTCTGTCTAATACGCACGCACTTGGAGCGGGTCCGATCCTCTAATACACACCCCCGTATGCCTGTCTTGACAACACCGGATTCCCGGTCATGGTTCACTTAAAACCTGCCCTCTCGTTCCCATTTGATGAGACTCACTCAGCTGTTACGTCGTAGAGTCAGGTCGCTTTTCTTGTCTAAGGTTTCAGTAAAACGAGTTACCCAGTTTGTCGGGCCTTGTCTGCTTACTGTCGGCCTACTACTCAGGATATGTTTCACAGTTTGTGACCAACTCTCCGCCTTTTCCCCCCCGGGAACCTGATGCCTGGCAAGAGGAATTTAAGGGGGCAAGCGGAGGTGGAGAGCCACGGAGGGGAGGAGCTCATCAACTTATTCATGAAGAGCTTATCGGATTTACTGGTAGAGACGAAAGCAGAAATGACCTAAATTTAAGTAGGATGCAGCCTGTATTATTTCAAACTGCACATGTTCCACGCTGTGATCAAAAGTAACCTATATAAACACACTATAACCATGTTGTATTGATGAGCTACAGTAGCCTACATGGAAAGTAACTAAGTACCCTACATTTACTCAAGGCTGCTTCCGCACTTGGAGGTTACCTACTCTGCTTTACTTGAGTAGACTTATTGCTATTGCATGTTACCTTTTATTATCAGTTTATAAAATGAATAGGCTACATTTTAAGGTTGACATTTCTAAACATATGCAACGCTCCATGTTAATGCTTGTGTCCATAATAACACTGACAGTGACGTGCGGTGAGGTTGACAGCTGGTGAGGCACTAACTCTTTTACAGTCAGATTTACAAATACAATTGTCTGTTAACAGACAATGCCTTGTGTTTTATATCTCATATCAGCATTCTTCACACAAACGTGACCCATATTTAATTTGAGGTTAAAATTTATTCCAATTGAGCTTATTTCTAACTAGAAATAATAAAAGTTTATGGTCTTACCTTTACTTGTACA